ATATATCTAAGTATATTTTACCGATGATTATCAGAGATATATGATAAGAATAAGGCCATTAAATACTTTATTCTTAATATCATTGATGGATCATATCTAATTATATATGCGCTATCATAATAGATATAGAATATATTTCAAAAATATACGATAGTAATAGATATGCCATTTGACAGGGGATATTCCAATCAACGATTTGGTATATATATATATGCGGATTTATTAAAAATCTTAATATTTAGAAAATTGAAGACTTCTGTAATCCCATCTCAATATTAGTATTCTTGAGCGAAATATTCGCTTTTTCTTGTGTTTTTTTACTGGATTATTGAAAATTAGATTATCAGAAATGATGCATATATTCCCTGAAAAATATAGAAGCTCTGACACGAGATAATAGATGACAACCATTCAATTCCAGATTTCATACAGTGGAGTAGATAGGCAACACCCAATTCTATAAAGCCTGTACCTTGGAAATCACAGCCTTGGTAAGATATGAACAAGAATAATCGCTGATCAAATCTTCATTATTAGAATAGAAGATGATGGGCCCCAAATTGCGCAGATATAGATAAGATCGCAAGAAGTAATGAGATAATTGAATCGGGAGACTGATATATAAATTCTTAAAGGATTAGAATAGAGGAATTGCACGAGAAATGATACTTTCCAAATAGACATAGAAGAAATTTAATAAAACCATTAATAATAATTAGATATAATGCATTCTAGAGATATCATAAATAATCTGCTTCTTCCCATCCCATAGAAAATTTAAATAATTCCTTGATATTTTGGTACCATAATAAATCCTCTATATCTCTTCGATGCTAACGACTTTTAAAAATCAGAATCATATTTATATTGAAATTTCTATATCTTCCATTTATATATAATTATTCTCATATTAAATTCTATATAGAAATTCCATATAAAAATAATAGATGAATTTTTTTGAATAAATTGAAAATCAATTATTTTCAATTTATTTAATAGATTTTTAATTTTTCTTATATTCAATTTTATATTCAAATTCATAATTGAATTTTTCTATATAATCAAATAGATTTCTTTGAATATCTATAATAAATATTTCCAAGAATTCATATGATAAAATTTTCATATTTATAAATATATATTAATTTTAAAGATCTATATGAATAAATCAATTAATAGAAATTATTAAGATTTTAAATTATCTTCAATTATCTATATAATTTCTTGATATTCTTATTTATTACTCTATTCTAAATAGATCTCTCTAGGTCTGAATCTAGAAATCCAGGATTATATATATGAAGATATTGAATCCTATATTTATTCATAAGAATTAGATTGGTGAATATATTGTCGAATATAGTCTTATGAGCCTTTCTTTCTTTAGAATTTATCGATGACTTTTTCATTCTTGATTTTTTTTTGGAATAAGATTTTTATATAAATTTGAAGAGATCAGATCTATTCTTTAATTATCGGTCGGAAAATAGGGGGGTAGTTATTGGTTGCCCGGAGATTTGGAGAATTTCTAAAGGAGACGTAGGAGCTTGAAAAATTGTTGGAACCTGACGGATCGGAGATGTTCGGGGAAGTCGAGGACATAGAATTCCACGATTTGGATCATTCTCCGTCCATCCCTCCCACCGACGACGACGGACGATGATGTTGAGGAGCGACCTCACTCTATGTTGAAAGTTTGTCTTATTTAGAAGTAAAATTATGATGACGAGTTTATTGGTTTAGTTAGTTAAATCAATATGTTTCTGAATATTTCTTTCAGATCGAGAGAGAGAGAGGAATGAAATTTAGGTTTTCTATTACAACAAATCAGTTTCATAATATACTTCAATGTCAAATAAGATATAGATGCGAAATGTGGAGAAGCCTTCAAACTCATATAGATAGATCCTCATGCAGCTTCCACATCCGTATCACCTGCATCTCTCGACCTTTCGATATTTTCACCCATGGAGCCATGCAGTTGCGGAAGCACAGGCAATCACCTCGTTTGGGCACACCGGCAAATGAAAAGTCCCAAAGGCTTCGAATGCATGTCCACGCATCAAGTCATCAGAACAATGAGGAGACGTCACGACGAGACATCGGTGCACAAACGTTTGCAAAGGTCTTGCACCACACGAACCACAGCCGGTCCCCAAGCCGAAAATATTAAAAACAGAAAAACATCTGGATCACGGGGCTGCTGCCATCTTAGTGTTGCAGAAGGGCAGGTAGCAATCGCAGTGCTCTGAGTCCTGCCATGCCGTTTGGAGCTCGGGATTCGGTGTGTAGACCTTTCTTCAGCCTTTAGCACCTTCACAGGAAAACTGGCTATTGCGCTCTACGGGTGCGTTCATTCGGGAATGGCAGCGGGACCACACCCAGACACTCCAATACAACCTACAGGTTTAGGGTTCAGGGTTGAGGGTCCATCGAAGCCTAGTTGCTGGTAGCAGCAGTGGCAATAGCAGTGATCCACGACACGACAGCTAGGAAACAATGAGCCCGAAGACGAATGGATAGCATCGGCGGCAGAAGCATTGCTGTTTAGTTTAGGGCTGTCCTTTAAAGCAAAATGACTATAGGTGGCGGCGGTGACAGTAGTCGTCGCGTCGTCTTCGTCAACTTCGGCGTCGCCTCGTCGCCGTAGCCTTCGGAGTAGCGGGAGAAGTGGGAGTAGTGGGAGTGGCCGCCGTCGCCCTCGCCCTCACGCCATCGTCGTCATGACAATCAACCATACAAAACTGCTGCTCGAGATCCTAATAATCCTAATATCTGCCAGCACAACGGCATCATGCCCTTCGTACTGGCACAAATATGGGCGGCAAGAACAACCATCATTTTCAGCACTAAATCCAAAGCCAAGTGGCAGACCAAGCTGACAGTAGTAGAGACACAAGTGCGTGGCAACCGGCTGCAGCCGGCCTGGGGTGTAGACTGCGGCATTGGATGCTCCACGAACCTTTATCACTCCAAATCCTTGAAGCGAATTGCGGCCTTGGGCCGTCTAGCTTAATGGGTCCGTTCATAATTACGTCCAACATTTCAACCAAGAATAAATCAGAAGGGTTCGGTTGGCGAAAAACTCTGACCAACGTGGTGTCTTAGGATTGAGCAGCATTGAAAGGCCAAAGTCTCTGCCCGGCTTCTTTTACTTTACAAGAGAATGCCGATTTGGCGCGCGTCCCATATGCACATGGGTAGTTTCCTAAATTAGGGTCCCTTTTTGGGGGTCCTAATGATAAGGGTGCCGTACTCTATTGGGGACCTAAACGGGGACCCTAATTGAGGGAACCACCCACATGTGTCCACGGTTTTGATGTGGGGACCTGCGTAGGCCAGATCATCAAACACAAGACAAAGTGACCTGCAACTCCTATTGCTCGGCTTGCGGCTTTAGTTTTACTGCTCTAAAGTGGCTCTGAAGTTGAACCAACTTTCAGAACCAGCTACAATTGCTCTGAACTGCGACTCTACTTCAGGCACTCTCGAATGAATGAGTTTATGGAAGTTATAACCCCCCCAAACAGACACCATGCGAAAGGATGCCAAAACTCCAAAACCGAATGTCGGCTTTCCATCACGTCCCATTGAACACTCCCCAGAAAGCCCAGTACCCTTTGTTGAAGTAGGGAAAAGCTTGTTTTACGTTTTGAGGTCTCTCTGCAACTTAAACCCTGCTAGTATGCCGTTTTTACGGAATCTTTAGACTATAGCATCACAAACCTACGCAGTGTACACAAACTCCACGAAGACGGATCGGGTGATCAGTGTTGAGATTTCTCTGCTCGTTCTTGAGGTCTTGAGGATAATGATGCTCCAACTTTCTTGCATCTACCAAACCCGAAACCCCCAAACCACAGAAACATGCTGAACCAGCCTGTTTTTTGAGCAGGGACTGCAATGCACTAAGCCCTGAATGGTTCAGCCTCAACCCCTAAACCCAAAACCCTAAACCCTAAACCCTAAACCCTAAACCCCTAAACTCCATCCACGAAGCCAACTTAAAGCGATTCTTCTCTGCCAACTTTCCGGCCGCGGAGCCCCGCAACTCGCATCAGTCTAGCGAGCCCGTGACACGGCCCTGAAGAAGAGCTTTGAATTGAGGCCGAGATAGGATTTAGAGTTTAAGACTTCGGAAATCTAGGCTTTCCCAGAGAGAAGCTCACCAAAACGGAACGTACAAAGTTGAAGCATAGTTTTGGGCAGAGGCGTTTTGACAGCGACGGGATGATTTCAGCGTGAATTTGCTGCGGTCCTGCTGCTGGTGCCTCATGTGGTATCATGACGGTGTTTTTTTTGCAGGGTCTCAGAAATTTGGGGATGTATGCGAAGTGGTGCCTATGGCCGCTGGGAATCAATTCCCATTTGGGCTTAGGCGATTTGTCACCCATGACTGGGATTCCTGCCGACCGCTCTGAGTCTAACTCCTCCTCCCTCCTTCCCTGCCTCCCTCCTTCTCCTTCCCTTCCTCAATCGGACGGTATCATGCAGTTCTCATGGCTCGACAAAGTGCGACCTCATCTTCCTCAACCCTGTTGAAAGGTTTTGATGTTTAAGGTTGTTGGATAACAGTTTAGGAGAGTCTAGGAGTCTAGATCTCATGATACTAATCAGCACCAGGTCTGGTGATTTTTTTCGGCTTGGCTCGGGCTTGTCGACGTGGGCAGACCTTGCCATTGCCCTAAACCCTAAGCCATGTTGACTAAACCCGAAGCCCTAGGCTCCCCCAAACCCGAAGCCCTCCTTGACTAAACCCTAAGCCCTACGCTCCCAAACCCGATGCCCGTTTTGACTAAACCCGAAGCCCCCACGAAAAGCTAAGCCCTATGCTCCCCCAAACCCTAAACCCCCACTCAACCCTAAGCCCTATGCTCCCCCAAACCCTAAACCCTAAACCCAAAACCCCAAACCCTAAAACCCAAAACCCAAAACCCAAAACCCAAAACCCTAAGCCCCAAAACCCGAAGGCCCTAAGACCGAGCTTCTTAGCACGCTGCCGGGGCTGTGCTCATGCGGGACTGGCCCTGGACCTGCGGACCAACGTTTAGGGTTTAGGGTTTAGGGTTTTGGGTTTAAGGTTCAGTTCAGGGTTTAGGGTTTCCACGGCTGGCTTAAGAATAAGCCCTTTTTTGAGCAGGGACTGCAATGCACTAAGCCATGAATCCCTTCAGCCAAGCTCCTAAAATAAGCCCTAAACCCAAAATTCAGGCTGTCTGAACCAAAACAAACCCTAAACCCTAAACCACCCCTCAAGCCCTCAACTGGGAGTTTAGGGTTAGATTTTTTTGACACCTCTTTTCCACCTGCCTGTTGGTTAGGTCGAAAGGGTTGGGGTTTTAGGGTTTGGCCTTTCAGCATGTAGGCTAGGAAGTCGAGAGGTTTGATTTGAGGGTTTCGGACTTCTGGGGTAATATAGGGGCCTGAATAAGTAGCTTTTGGGGTATGTTTTGCGAAAATAAAAAGGGACCTCCACAATAGTATTAGCTAATCATTTAAGCCCCTATGGTACACCCTGGACCATCAACTCAGAAGCGACTAGCCGACCAAGTAAGACCTATGACATCCGCCCTCTGGAGATGCTCCGGGCGGCCAGCAAGCACTAAAGCCTAAACCGCCCAGGGTTCAGAGTTCCACCGTGAACTTCTGGGTGTCGTGAGCACCGGAGAATGCAGACACAGTGTAGCGGCTTCTGACACGAGGCTTCTCCATCTAGGCAGACTTGTAGTCATGTTCCTGTTCCCTGAAGTCTTGCACTTCTGACCCGTCTCCAGCTTTGTCGAAACTCCTGCAGCAGGCTGTACGCCGCCCTGTGATTTGGGGTGTAGGACTTCTAGATTTGATGGTTTAGAATCCCAACCTCTCGATGAGGCGCATCAACCATCCCCATGCCCCAGATCTCTCAACAGGATGTTACGACCTCTACACCCTAAACCGCCCTAAAACCTGTAGGACAAAGGCGTCACGTCATGTCTTCCTCACCCAAGCGGCATTCTGACATTTCATCCTGGCAGTCATTCCAAAAGCACCGTCTAAGCCGCTCAGAACCCTTAAAACGCTGAACGCTTCAAACCACAAGGCAGCGAATCGTTTAACCCTATAACCCCCACCCCACCCTTTAAACTCAAAAGCTTGAAGCCCTAAACCCTTCTAAACCGTATACTCCCTATAATGTAGGGGCCTTAATCATTTGAATAGGGTCTTCGGGGCTCCTTAATATAACTATAGTATATTATACCCCCAACCCTATTCTAACTAGTAATGCCCCTAAACCCTGAACACGTATAGTAGCCCTTATAGAACCCTTTAACGGAACCCCAAAACCCAAAACAGTCCCAAAACCCTATTCTAAAGACCCTGTCCTATATCACTCTAAAACCTAAACCCTAAACCCTGAACCCTAAACCGTATACTCCCTATACTCCCTTTAACAAACCCCCCAAGCCCTGCAAAAAGCGCTGGGAGATGGGGAGGCTCCGACCATCGTAGGCGGCGGGAATCGATGGCCTCGTCTCGATCTCTTGGTGCAGGGTTTCGGGTTTCGGGGTTTAGGGTTTAGGGGTTTAGGGTTCACGGTGTGGGTGTAGCCCGGGAGCCCGAACCCGTAATTCAGGAGCATTGGATATTGGGGCCGTTTTCTTGCGGCCTTACGGTTTAGGGTTTAGGGTCTTAACGGCTAACATGGGGTCTTGGGGGTGTATGATACTATCATTTCAACTCAGGAGCCCTAAGGAATACTAATGCTAAATATTCAGGTTTCCATGACTTCCTGTGGTTTCTGCTGCGAGATTGGCATGGAACATGTTGCGCATCATATGCGGGAGTCTGGGCTCAGAAACACTTTCGCCAACCAACAACACACTAGGACTAGGAGCTGGGACCTGCCTGCTTAATCGGGATCGTACTATTTGAGGTTCTGCAGGAGGATCCCTTGTTTTCTGGAGCTCCCTGAACAACGAGACCTGACCAACCACAGGCAGTGCTGTGAGATACGTACTATCGGGCTAAACGGGCCGTTATTATTGGAATAGGATTTCGGGTGTATATTACAGTCATTGCACTAGGAACCCCAAGGACTTGTATAACCAATTATTCAGCCACCCCCCCAAGAATCCGCTTGAAGCATGCTCAGGCCCAGTGCTCAAGGGATCGTTGCGGGTGGTCAGCACTCCTTGGCCGCAATATTGGATGGTGCCTATGGGTGAAGATGTAAAGTGCAAGTCGCATGGGGGAAGTGCGGCCGAGTGTTTGATGAAGACTGCGGCAACTTTATGCTTCGAAGTTCGAGGTGTTTCGTGATTCAAACATTGAAGTACCGGGTAAATGATGGGGTGCAAAACTTTCAGTCGTCGCAGCGGCGTCACTAACCTGGTGGTCCTAATAAAGGAATCATGCGATGTTGGGGGTGCATGGCATACTTTGTGGCATTGTATGGCCTGGCCATTGGGAATGATGGTACGTATCCGTCTAAGCTTCGAGGGAAGATGAAGGTTTCTATTGTCGATGTGGCCGTCGCCGATGTCGTTGTCATCGTCATCGTCGTAGTAGCTAGCAGCAGTACCAGCAGAAGTAGCAGTAGTAGCAGCAGCAGCCGTAGCTGGAGCAGGAGCGGCTGCGGTAGCGGCAGCCGGAGCGGTAGTAGGAGTAGCAGAAACAGCAGCAGCGGCAGTGGTATAACACGAAGCCTCATACGGACAAGGTAGAGTGTGGTTCTACTTCTGCTAAGCTCAACTCCAAGCCATTAGTAAGGGCCTAAGCGTTCGGGCGGCAAACCCTCGAGACCTCAGGGTACAAAGTCCGATAACCACATCCTTGGACAACAGTCAAGGAGCCCCAAGGCGGCTTCAGCATGGTCGTGGTACCATCCTCGGGCATAAGATGCAGCAGAAACTGATGCTGACATTCCTGGTGTTTCACTAGCCTAAGCCCGCTTCCATGCTAAAAGCTTTGTCGTTCTTCCGGCTTGGTGGCTTCTGCGGTTCGAGCTGTCACGTAGAGTCTGCAGACTCAAGGGACGAAAGCTTCTTCTTTGCACGCTGTCGCAGAGTGTCTTCTTTGAGCCTATGATGTAAGTACTTCCGAGACCAGGGGGTCTTTGTTGGCACAGTTTCACCTGTATTGGTACACTTGCTGTCACGCAGAGCTCCACTGCGTTTGCTTTCGCAGCTTTCTCGGATGTCTCGGAGAGAGGAGACTCCGTCAAGCTTTCTTCAGAAAGTCTACCGAATTTGGGTAAGATGCCTCTGGAAGGGCTTAGAATCTTCTGCTGTCAATCTTAGTGGTTGGCTTTGGGGATCCTATGGGTTTGTCAGCTTTGCCTGCAATCCTCAAAGCCTGTCGAAGGAATCAGCGCATCTCTGTTGAAACACAGGGGACAGATTCCTCTGAACTTAGGGTTTAGGGTTTAGGGTTTATGGTTTAGGGTTTAGAGATCTTCAGAGAAAGTACAAATACTTCCCAAAACATGAGCAGAAATACCAAAAGCGACCCGGCATCAACATGCTTCAGCCGTAGTAAGCCCCAACCTATAGCCCGACGTTCCTCAAACACTGACAAACCTGAACGCTCAAGACTTCATCTGAAAAATCAACGTACAACCGTGAACCCGAAAAGCTTAAACCCGGGGGCCCCGTATACCAGTAAAAGCGCTCGGCCTCAAACTCTAAAGCGGGCTGCTGCCAGCCTGCCCCCTCCCGAACTGACGTGGTGGATTCTCTGAGAGTTGCGCATGGGGCACGACGCCGTAGCCTCAAATCGCGCTTAACAAACAAGCTGGGTTTCAGATTTTAAGTTTTTCGCTTCTTGTCGGGCAGCGCTCTCGATCTGCTTGAGGCTTAGTATCCAGCTTTCCCTTGCTTAGCTGCTTAGCTCCTTGAACGCCTAAGTTGCCTTCAAACGCAACTTGTGCTGAACGGTTTCCACGGCCGCCCGGTAACTGCCCTAAATCCTACACATAAAGACCCCTGCGTCAAAAATCTCCGACTTTGAATGCTGATCCGAACCTAAACCCTAAACCCTAAACCCTAAACCCTAAACCCTAAACCCTAAACCCTAAACCCCGAAAGCCCAGAGCACTAAAGCCTAAAAGCTGCGGAAGACCAAAACCTCAGGAGATCCCCGGTTTCGGACGATCCAGGCGAGGCAAGGTTTAGGGTTTAGGGTATAGAGTTTAGGGTATAGGGTTTAGGGATTTAGGGTTTAGGGTATAGGGTTTAGGGTATAGGGTTTAGGGTATAGGGTTTAGGGATTTAAGATGATTTAAGGTTGAAGGCTTAGGTAGCTCAGGGTTTCTGAAAACGAAGGTTTCGTGGTCTTTAAGGCTCCTACTGTCTAGGGGCTATAGTAGGCCTTCCTGATTTCTGAAAACCTCCCCCACACCTGCTATATCCGCCGGTTTTAGGTTCACGTACCGCCAATAATCAAGGCCGTTTGTGCTACACAAGGATCAGCGCAGGAGCCTGGTAGGGTCTTCTACCTAATAAAGGGGCCTTAATAAATAGAATAGGGCTTTGGGGCCTAGTATACTAGAATTATGATAAGGACCCCCCCCACAACATAGCAACATAGTATTGGTATCATTTAGGCTCCTCCATTATTCTGGGGTTCGAGTCAAGCCTTACTCCGAGACCTTGCCGCAATGCTTAGGGTTCCATGGACGAAAACGACTTGAGATAGGTCAGCTCGCGAACTGAAGTAGTGCCAACCCAGCCCGCGCAGTGCCTAGGAATGGAAATTCCACAACATATGAGAAAGCACTCAGACTTGAAGTGATAATCCTAAACCCTAACCCCTAAACCCTAAAAACTAAACCGAATCATTTCAACTGCCGCTCTTCCCCTCAGCTGACTTGCAATTTCTTGGATATGGGTGGTCGAAAATTGGAATGTCTAGGGCTGCTGTAGGCAGGACCTGTGGTTTTTGAGAACCTGCAAACCAGCCGGGTCCTCAACAGATGGGGGTCCTCAAATTAGGGTAGTAAGTCACCATTCTTTTAGTAAAGACCTAGCAAGGACAGAATGTAGAGAACTACCATGAACTACCCATATGCCGTCTGTCGACAAGAGTCGTACACCCTGCACAGCATCGGCTCTATCGCTGGTGATGCCACCCAACTTGTAGAGTTCAACAGTCTCTGTGGGGTTTCGGGTTTTGGACACTTGGGGTTTATGGATTTGGGCCTTTGGCGCAGCGGGAATCCGGGTTTGAGGGGTAGTCGGTCGCAGTCGGTTGATGTGGGGCTTGGCATCCATCTTCGCCCCGAACCCACAACTTGCAGCCACGCGGGCTGGGAGGCTTCTTGGCCCCACGAGGAAACTGAGTCGTCGTGGGGATTCCGGCGATGTGGTCCTGCCCGGTGGCGGTTTAGGATTTTGAGGTTTCGGATTTTAGGTTTCGGCTCTCACACTCGGACAATGCAGGCGAGGCGTATGGTCTGAGGTCGGATTTTAGGTTTAGGGTCTAGGGCTTTGGCAGGAGATAAGGCCGGAGTGGAGCCCGCCAAAACGATTAAGCAAACGGTTGAAGGGTGCCGTCCAGCAGCCCCCGTGTCGTTCGGCAGCATTTCATGCTTCGGGTGTTGGGAATAGAGCTGGCGCCGCAGCCCCAAGGCTACATGTGGAACCCTAAACCCTAAAACCTAAACCGTGGCTAGGGGTCAGAGACTAGCTTGCTACCTGTCAGGTCACTTAGGTAGGGTCTATGGTTCGGGGTTTGGCACTCACCGACGTCTCCTTTGCCCCAATCCCCAATAGGTGAGCCTCGAATCCCATCAAGAAAAGGGAGTTTCCCAAAATTAGGGTACCTTATTTTGGCCTTATAATAAGGGTCCTGCTATTTAGGGTACTATATTAGGGTCCCCTATTTTCGGAAACTCCCAAAAACCAACAGAGCCGTGAATGCGAGCCCTAAGACCCTAAACACTCCGAGAACTTCGAGCTTTCGGTTCACATAACCTACGAAGTCCAATACTGTACGCATTCAGAGCCTAAACGGAACGAGGCCTTAAGGAAACTGACCCTAGGAAAGCTTACATATGACATATCTTTACTAAGAGAACCCGAAAGTGAATCAAACAGTACGAGTGTTATAGCATAATAAGGAACCCCTAAGACCCTGTTCTAATCACAAAGGCCCCTACATTAACCAAGCCCCGCGTCTTTCACCAGCAAGTCTACCTCATGTCGAATTTGAAGACCCCTCCAAACTCACCCTTTGACGCTATCCGGATCTGCAGGACATCTCAACCCTGGCAGAAGTGCGGCTGCCTGGAAAGATGGACGGGCATCACCTCAGCTCAAGAGGAGTGACGAAGCTTTGCGTAGACAGTCATAGCATCCCCTTGCAAAACCCTATGTATGCCCATGTTTTACACAGGCTTGGTCATTACTCGCCCGGCCGGGATTCCTGCACCACATCGCACCCAATTTAAGCCTAACCCTAAACTCCAAACCCTAAACCCTAAGCCCTAAACCCTATAAACCCTAAACCCTAAACCGTAAATCCCCAACCCTAAACCCTTACCCCCTAAACCGTTTCAGGGAAGCCCTTCAAGCGAGCCACTTCTGACTTCCAGCTTCAGGGCTCCGACTCTGCGAGTTTCAGAGACAGCGACCCCTGTTGCAGATCCCAACTCATACGGTTGATGATATTAACCCTGCATTACCCATAATAAGGAATATAGGGTTTAGGGTTTAGTGCTTAGGGTTTAGGGTATAGGGTTTAGGCTACCCATCATAAAGAATGTACCATAATTCCCATAGTTTAAGATCCTTAAGGTAGTGCAGGATTTATATCATCAACAGTAGGACCTGCAAAAACCTCTTTCCAACTATAACGGCCAGACCCACCCACCCCCCGAGCCCCTACATGCCGAACTTCAGATTTGAATAAGGGATGCTACGTGAAGGCTCCTGGTTAAACAACAGGGTTTAGGGTTTAGGGTTTAGGGTTTAGGGTTTAGCGTTTAGGGTTAGGGATGTAACTACTTCTATCTCTAATGACACTTACCTCACTTGCAAACCCACTTGTGCATACCCAGGAACGCTCCAAGTAGCGCGGTGAGTTGTAAGGCTTATAAAGATACTTGAAATTACCGCGGCCGGGCCTTGCAACCCCAAACCTCGAAACCCCCAAATCCTAAACCTAAACCCTAAACCGACTCATCGGTAAAACCGAACTCTAGCTCCGACATCGCATGCCCAAAACCAGAAGCCCTAACGCCTAAACCTTAAAGCACTGTTTCAAGTTTCTGAACACAACAACCCCCTTAAACACAAAAGCCGAGTTTTCAAAACCTATATCCAAAGGACGTGAAAAAGTGGGCCTGAACCAAACATGAAAAACAAAGCCGCCTTTCAAGGCTTAAGATTGAAATCCTGAACCCAAAACCGCCAGTAAAGAAAGGAGAACATCCTAAACAAATCCTCTTGAAACCCTAAACCCTAGAACCCTTCCCTAAACCCTAAACTTTTTAAACCCTAAGCCCTACACCCTAAAACCCTAAAACCCTAAACCCTAAACCCTAAAAGCCCTGAACCCTAAACCCCTCTCTCTGTCTCTCTCTCTCTCTCTCTCTCTCTCTCTCTCGGACTCAGAGGTCTGTCAGCCGCGCGGCCGTCTAACACTTCGCCCCTAAAAACCTTAAATCCTAAAACCTAAAACCCTTAAACCCTAAAAACCCTAAACCATAAAAGCCTCAAAAGCCCTAAACCCTAAAATCCCTAAACCCCAAATACTAAAAGCCCTAAACCCCAAAAGCCCTAAGCCCTAAAAACCCTAAACCCTAAAAGCCCGAAAAGCCCTAAAAGCCCTAAACCTAAACTCCCCATGCAAACTAAACTCTCCACGGTCAGGTGGCGATTCGGGTCCTTGCGCAGCGTCTCCTGAGTTCGGTCGAACCTGAGAGCTCTTTGAAGCGTTCCTATGGGAATAAGGGTTCGTGTGTAGGGTTTAGGGTTT